AAATAATTGGATTCATTTGGATGATGATGTATTGCTTTAGTTTTGGAGTTTTAAAATTAGGAGAAATTTTATGGACAAGTAGAAAACTTATCCATAACCATTTACTTTAGATTCGTCAAAGCTCAAACTCTATGCATTCAAGAAGTGAAATTTAAGTATTCAACTTACCCTTTTGAGTATTCATACAAACATGGTAAAAATATAACATAACTGCAAGTAGCAAATTTGTAGATTTCCATGAAAATTGATTTGGTCCATATATAAAAACGAGCCCTAGGCAAAACTCATAACGTCTATCAAGAAATAAGCTTTGTTTAATCACTTCTAGTTTAAGGAACAATACCAATTTTTAATTAAATCCTCATTTTTCCGTGCTTAAAAGGGAGCCCAGTGACATCATTGTAGGCCATGTTGCACAAGATAATTTATCCCTAAATTTTGGGGACGACACGAGACAAATAATTTTATAGTTAATTGTTAATTAACTGTTAAGTATAGAGATTAAATTAAATTAAATGGCCATCATATCTTCTATATATAGGTTCACATTCTTTTTGTCCTTATATAGTTTTCATCTTTCAAGAAATGTATTGAGTACCCATTACCTATTACCATTAGTCTTGGAAAAGTCGCCCAAATCACATGTTTCATTAGTAAAACTAGAATGGGCCGCTGTACCATATCAACATAATATATGGTTCTTTATAAAATATTTAAGGCCCAACATGACTATCTTTTAGGCCCAAATCCACCTCAATCACAAAAGCAATGATAGTGAAATGAATTTTGAATAAAATAATATTTTGATGGTGACGTGGCATTATAAAATAGTTTGATGAACCGTTCAAATTGCACGGTTTGTCACTCGAAGGGTTATAACTTAGCTTGGTTGGTAGTGAGAGAATGAGCTAGATATCAAGTTCGACCTCGTCTCATTTATTAATATCAACGAGTCGAGTTTGAGTTTTAACGAGATGATGTTGAGCTTCAACGAGTCAAATTATAAAAAATTATATAAAAATTATTTTTTTGAACCTTATCAAGCCAGGTCGAGTCTGACTTGTTAACGAAACAAGTTTTATGCCTAGAAATTTATAAACGAGTTGAGACGAACTTGAGCCTTAAAAAATCGAGCCGAGCTGAACTCACGAGCAGTAGTTTAACAGCTCTTCACAAGGTTAACATGTATAACTTGACTCCGATACCTAAGGGCTTGGTGGTCTTGGTTGAATAATATAGCCCATGCATAATGCTGCTAAATTAAACGAGTCTGACTCGGCTCGGCTCAGCACGTTAAGGCTCGAGTTCGGCCTCGAGCTTGAGGCCTTAAAGAGCGTAGCTCGAGCTCATTTAAAGCTCGAAAAGATAATTTTTATATAATTTTTTTATAATTAGGCTCGTTAAAACTCGATATCAGTTCGTTAAGACTCAAACGTGGCTTGTTAATAGTGATAAACGAGCCAAACTTGAACTCGATTTCTAGTTCGTTTATTTGACAAGCCGATAGGCCTCTCCATGCATCTATTATCTTGTAAATTACAAGTTGATTCTCTTGTCTGGTTACGCAAGATTATAATTTGCAAGATACATTCTCATCTGACTATATCTAAGGGAAAGTACCTTAAAATTCGTAAGAATTTTTTATAACATTCTTAACCGTATTAGTGTCTTCTTGATCATTTCTCGACTTAGTACATTGAAGTATTCATACCAAAAACACCTTTCACAAGATTTTACAGGTAATCACAGATCGAATTTTGCATGAAATGGATAGTGTACAGCATAGAATATATCTTGCTTCTTCTTTTTTTCCCTTCGTGTATTCTCAGCCAGGCCCATTATTTCTCTAATCGCAACACTTCAAGCCCATTCAAAGGGTCTCTCTTATAAATTTTGGGCTCCGAGTCAACTCCTCATGGGCTTCATCCACGAAGACTTGTCAAGCCTTTGCCTATCGGCCCACAAATCATCCCTATGCACGGCCTTATCCCCAACGCTCAATGAGCCTTGGAAAGCAATAGCGCAATAGAAGCCCAATCAGCAGGCATATCCAGCCCATCACGATAATGTTCAATCCCACGATGAGCACGAATTTAGTGCTCTTAAATTAAACGACCTTAGCTTTGCTCAGCACGAGCTCAGCTCATTAAGGCTTGAGTTCGTATCGAGCTCGAGACCTTAACGAGTCGAGCTCGAGCCCAAACTCGTTTAGTTCACTAGACGAGCTCGGCTCGAAAAGAAAATTTTTATATATTTTTCTATAGTTCGACTCATTAAAGTTTGAGACTGGCTTGTTAAAGCTCGAACTTGACTCGTTAATAGTGATAACAGAGTCGAGCTCGAGCTCTATTTCTAGCTCGTTTACTTAACGAGCCGAGCTCGACTCGGCTGGTTAAGGACTCGAGCTCGAGCTCGAGCTCGGCTCGACTCATTTACTGGCCAAGCATGATGTCGAGTAAGAAATCGGCTAATTCCTTCGCACCATATGACTAATAGCCAGACGGTGTTTATTAAATGAAAAGAAAAATATATCCATTATAAGCTACGAGTGTGTGTAATCAACAATAATAAAACTTACGTAAGGTCCAGCTTGGCTCATTTATAAACATAAATCTTAATCGAGTTATTCACGAACAAGCTGTTTATTTCAAGTCCATAAAATATAAAAAAATAAGAATTAAATTATTTTTTCGTGAACTCGTTTAATAAGCATATTCGATTAGTTGTTCTAACTCAAGCTTTTATGGGTAAAAACGAATTGCATATGCAAATAACTAGGCTCAAATAACAATTTTTTGTTTAGCAGAGATAACCCAAGTTCATAATTTACCCATATGATTGTACATGACTCATCTCATCTTTTTTGAACAAATATGTACTTTCAAACAGAAATGAGCGTGCTAATTAGGGCGAGAAAAACAAATAAGAGAAAAAATCAGATTGTTTGGATACGCAGAGACTGTGAGCATGAGAAGAGATGAGTACTCTCTCTAACACTCTTCTCTCATTTTTCAATATCTTTTTCTTTTATGAATGATTTGTGCGGCTTATTTCTCATTGTCTTGGTTGAAGATGATCGAAACCTCGGACCTACTATGTGAGATGGAATTAGTATTTATTTTAATTTTGTATTTCCAACATTAATTGTCTCGCATTCATATTTGTATGATTGTCATGCTTAGTTGATATATTGGCCACCTGTTATTTTATATGTATGACTTATTGCTTGATAGGTATTTGAGTCGGATTTAAAATCATCTATCTTTCCAATTTCCATAGAAGCAACTAATATAAATAATTAATTGGATATAGGTGTTACTCTCTTAAGGGAAACAATTAAATTAGTTAATATTTAACGTATTAGTTATTTGTTAATTGAACTGTCGATCTTTTGTGTATAATGCCATTGTTAGGATAATTCGTCACGACGTTGGGAGTTAACTAGTTATAGTCTCGTAGAAAAATTTATTTTGTGTGACTAAATTAAAATATATAATTTTTATTCAACGACAATTGCATGAATTGTGAGTTGATATTTTATGTATGAATAGTGGAACAACTTAGGGATGAAAATCAATTCAACCACACCGTATTCGTATTATATTTATTTTTGGTCTCTTTAATTTTATTTTTATTTATTATTCAAATAAGTAATTTATAGTTTATTTGTATCATTAGTTCAAAATTCTCCTATTGATCATATAGTTGATAAAATTAGGTTACTTATCGAAGTAACTGGACACCATTCTTGCTTATGTTAAGCAAGGTTAATTTTGGTCTTATGACAACACAAATCATACTCCTAAAAACCACATAAATGCTTTTTTGCTCAAAAAAATTTACTAGTCTTCACCCAATTTAATTTGTGATAGTACAAAATTACAAACAGTGTTGTTATTTTTTCGTTACTATTTTATTATTATTATTATTATTATTATTATTATTATTATTATTTATGTTTTCCTTTTTATTTCTACAGTTGAGAGTCTCATGTGGCTAGAATACTTCCACCAATCACACTGACACCAGCTGAGCCTCTGGCTGCTCAATCCCCACTGATCTCTCTCTCTCATCAGCTTCCAACATCAGTGATTTTTGTGCAACTTCGAATTCATCGAAGTCTCCTATCAATCCTCGTTCAACAAAAAATGGCGTCCGCAATGCTGAACGGAGCTGAAAACCTCACCCTAACCAGAGGGATCGGAATCGCGCCGTCCCCAATCGGGTTAGGTTTTCCCGGCCGGCATTTCCCTAAATCCGCCGGCAAAATCTCTACCACCAGGGCTTTGAAATCCAAAACCCTAGTTCCCAGATGCAGCGTCTCGGTCTCCCGACCGGCTTCCCAGCCGAGGTTCATCCAGCACAAGAAGGAGGCCTTCTGGTTCTACCGCTTCCTCTCCATCGTGTACGACCATGTCATAAACCCCGGGCACTGGACGGAGGACATGAGGGACGAGGCGCTCGAGCCGGCCGATTTGAGCAGCCGGAATTTGACAGTGGTGGACGTCGGCGGCGGCACGGGCTTCACGACGCTGGGGATTGTGAAGCACGTGGACGCGAAGAATGTGACGATTCTTGACCAGTCTCCTCACCAGCTTGCCAAGGCGAAGGCGAAGGAGCCACTGAAGGAGTGCAGGATAATCGAGGGTGATGCGGAGGACCTTCCGTTTCCGACCGATTATGCGGATAGATACGTTTCGGCTGGGAGGTATGAAGTGCTGGGTGCTCTTGTTTGTTGTTGATTTTGATTGGGTATTTAGATTGGTTTTGTGTTGTTGGTTGAGTTATGGGTGTGTTTGTGTTTCTGGCATCTTACCACTGGGTATTGTTTTATTACAAATTATTGTGTGAGGCGGCCTATCCGTTAGGCGGGGTGACCCCTCATGCATTTGTAACGAAAAATGCATAGTTATGTTATGGAAATGTCATACATTTGTTTATGCTGTTTTTTAGAGTATGACATTTCAGTTTGAAAGTATGCATATATGTTGGAAAAAGTATGAAGTGTTGCCTAACGTTAAGTCAGCCTTGTTATTGTTTTATAATTGCTCATAATCTGTTTCGTTTGATTTTTGTCTGAATTACTTGAATTCCCAGATTGTTTTTCCTTGATGTTGTTGCTGCCTATTGTCCTAGTTCTTGAATGAGCTATCAAGATTATTCCAGTTTTATCTCGATATGAATTTCAAAATATAGAGCTGGTTTTGACATTGTGAGTTGCGTGCATTGAACTATAAAGGCACTGCTCGTGAACTAGCTGATAAAAACTCGCCATTAACAGCCTGTTTGGATATTCATATAGGTGCATAACTATTTAAACAATCTTCACAAGGAGCTGTATATGGGATTTTGGAGAGATTTTTTTTCCTGGCAAATCTTGTTGATTTTCTTTTTTTGTTTTTCTTTTCTTGAAAACTGTTTTCAGCATTGAGTACTGGCCGGACCCACAACGTGGAATTAGGGAAGCTTACAGGGTTCTGAGACTCGGTGGCAAAGCATGTTTGATTGGTCCCGTTTATCCTACCTTTTGGTTGTCTCGTTTCTTTGCAGATGTGTGGATGCTTTTCCCCAAGGAAGAAGAGTATATAGAGTGGTTTACAAAGGCGGGATTTAAAGATGTCCAACTTAAAAGGATTGGCCCGAAATGGTACCGTGGGGTTCGTAGGCATGGTCTGATAATGGGCTGCTCTGTAACAGGTGTGAAGCTCGCATCTGGAGACTCGCCTTTGCAGGTAAGTTTGTGACTATATGTCAACTGTTAGCGATTTTCTCTATATCTTTTCATGGGAGGAAAAATGAAAAAAATAAAAAAAAATTAAAAAAATAAGTGTTTCCTTCTATATCTACTTGTTATGTTGAGATAAAAAATTGAAATCTTTGCATTTGATTTGGTCAGAAAGAAGTAAACGTTGCAAATATGACTAGAGCTTTTCAGTAATTCGTAATATTTATGTTAATGGATGGCGGGCTCGCTTGTTTACTAAATAATTTGTCCAAAATGAGTTATTTTGGTTAACTAGAGTTAATTTTAAAAAAAATAGTATGGTTAGTTGTTGGTGAGGTTTTAAGAATGTATTAAAATAATATTTAAAATAAAAGGATTAAAATTGATTTGATGTAAAAATAGGAGATAAATTATTGAAAATGATTGGAAATGCTAGGTAGTTAAAATTATGTGAGTGGATGAATAGTGAATTAAAGTTGATGTGATATGTAAGACTGATTGGTTTGTATTATTTAATTATATGAATAATATTAAAGATAGTAGGGTTGAGTTAAAGTTGAGCTAGATCCTGAGCATATGAATTGAATAAGAGTGAAATAATTTATAAACAAGCATAATTTTTTGTTGAATATGATTACTTCTTGTATGTTTCTGTTTATCTGATGGATATTTATTTGGCTGAATATCAGAAAGTTACAAATTGATTACCTTTTTTTCCCTTTTGTATTATGTTATCCTTTTTCCCTCTTTTTTTGTAGCTTGGTCCTAAGGCAGAAGATGTGTCACAACCTGTAAATAATCCTTTCGCATTTCTTGGGCGGTTCTTGCTTGGTGCCATGGCAGCAACTTATTATGTTTTAGTTCCGATTTACATGTGGCTCAAGGATCAAATTGTCCCAAAAGGTCAACCTATTTAGGATCTGTCGAAGTTTAGTTTTTGTTAATCGGCTTTTGAAGCTTTGCTACTGTATTTCTCTTCAACAACAATAAAATTAAGTTCTCAGTATCTGTATCCATGGGTGAGTTTTCTTGTAGTTTCCGTTCAAGAATGAACATAGATGTGCTAAATTGTTCTTCTAGCTGTTGAGAATTTGTGGTTTGCGTATTTGTGTGGTCCATAGCTCATAATCGAATGTTTGAATGCACCGATTTTCAAGAATGTTTTGGTCCTAGTTGATTTGAAAATTTTTTGGTCCGAGATTCTGAGAATCGGCCAATCATCAGTCATTTGAATTGGTCATCAGCTATTGAATTGGTGAAGATATATGTTAAATGGTTCACTAATTGGTCATCGGTTATTGAAATGGTGAAGATATATGATCAATGGTTCACTGGTTCGGTCAATGTGTTATCAAAAGTTTCTTTGAAGCCCTTTTACTTTCAAAATATTGATTCCTTGTCTAATAGAAAAAATAGATGTTTCATAATTAATTTGTACTTTTTTTGTGTATGAGTAATGAGTGTGGTGATTATGTGTTTGTACAAGTCATAATATAACACTTGTCATTTGTCCATGGATAATAAAATAAGACATTTGTCACTAATATATGCACCAAATAGCAAATATATTTGATTCAAGGAATAATATTACTATATCTCGCAAGATAGCATATATTAAATGGGAGATTTTCGTATTAATCCAATTGTAAACTTCAACTTTAAGAATAAGACATGGAATAAAAATATTAATAAAGAATAAGTCATAAGTCCTAATGACTGAGAATTTTCTTCTCCCAAAATAAGGGGCGAGCTTTTAAATTGTGTAGCAAGTCACAAATAGCTTATTTCATTTGGGTCAAGTATTTCTCTCGATATACCACCATGTACCCATTCAAATCAACCGTTGAATTTGGAGACCATTTTTTTTCAATTAGAACTTTAAAGTCTTTAATGCTGAATGCTATTTTCCACCCAGTATGTTTGACTTTTACAAACTTTTTTACTCAAAAATAACTAAATAAATAAATGAAATTTCATGTGGCCACATATAATATATAATATATATAAACTCCAATATTGGCCTTAATACCAAGCCATTGTACTGCCTTCACAAGTAGTTTTCTCCCCTCATCTCTGAGGACACATACATACAATAGTTTTTTCATCTATATATATATATATATGTTCCCAATTATAAGATCTAATTTAAATATTATTTAGGGAAAAAATGGCAGGTTCTTTGACAGAAGAGCAGATTGCTGAGTTCCATGAAGCTTTTACCCTGATTGATAAAGATTGTGATGGTAAGTTTTTCCTATAATACCAAAAGAAAAACAAAGGTACAATAGATTATGAGATTAATTAGCTTAAGTATTATTCTAATTAATAGTGAAAAAATTGTAATATTTTTTTTTTAAGGGGTTATTACTATGGAAGAACTTGCATCAGTCATCCAATCATTGAACGAACATCCAACAAGGGAAGAAATTCAAGAAATGCTGAATGAGGCTGATACTGATGGAGATGGCACAATAGATTTTGATGAGTTTTTGAGTGTGATGACAAGAAAAACAAAGGTAACTAAGCAAATTAAAAGAATTAAGCTAAGACGAATTTAAATATTTATATTCTATATTGTTAGTTTAGTCAATTTTAAAAAATATATTTTTTTTGTTGGTACAAAATTGGGCATAAATAATTGAAAAAATTGGTGGATTTTGACAGGAAAATGTGGCAGATGAGGTGAAAGAAGCTTTCAGGGTGTTTGATCGAGATCAAGATGGATTCATATCGGGGATTGAAGTGAGAACACTTCGAATTCCTTCATGGCTTCATATATATATATATTTTTTTTTTCAATTTTTTTTATTGTGCAAGTACATCCAAGTACTATATATTACTGTTATCATAATCTATATATATATATATAATAAGAATTACCATTTACCAAAAATAGTAGCAAAAAATAGGTCAAAATTTAATGCAGCCTATAAATAGTAAGTTTTATTATTTTTCTTATTTTTTTCTTTAAAAATCATGCAACATCAAATGCTACCTTAAATTTCGGACTTTAGTTCATTTTATTATTTAAGAAATCCGGTATTTAAAAAATCCGATATTATTTAAACAATCTCGGTATTTATATTTGTGTCTTTAAAAAAATACTAAACGCTAAAAATTTGTTTAAATTGCATAATCAATCAATTAATCTTAATTGTTTAAAAATTACTATGTTTATTTTCTATTAATATGCATAAAGTAAAAAATAATTAATTCATCTTTAGATATATAATTTATAATCTTAATAAACTATCATTTGGTGTAGACATTTATTATATGAATCCTAAAATATTTTTATTTCATAAAATTAAATATATTTAAAAAAATAAGAAAATTCTTTCGGAATTCGGATCAATCGAGTGATTGAATTAGGGTACTGCCCAGGTTGATTGAATTACTTTTAGGCGATATTTAAAAACGTAAAAAAACTTGACACAACTTGGTTGGTCCTGGATGACTAAGTTATGTATCAGTTCAACCACACCAAATCGATTATTGAACCTAAATATAAATTTTATATTGAAAATATTTTATTACGTGAATGTGATGTAATCCAAATTTCAAATAATCGTATTAACAATACTTTTATGACAACATGTTTAATGATTTTATACATCATTTTATTAATATTTATGTGAATTAAATAATAGTTTATTATAATATTTATTAATGTAAAGTAAATATAAGTTTTCAGAACTGGTCCGTCATCGAAACGTTCAAGCTATTTTATTAAATCATTTGTGGTTTGTTCAGATTTTAATTTATAAACATATTAATATATATATATATAATACTTTTTATAATAAATTTAAATAAAATGTGTTACTTAGATATCTAAACAATTTATAAATTCAAATGTTTAAACTAATTGATAAATAATTTATAAATCTCTATTTTATTTAAATATGTAATTTTATTTTAAATAATTTTAAATATAACAAAATTTATTTAGAAAATCGTATCGATCCTACCAGTCCAACCGATTGATGTTGACGTATTCGAGAGCAAATATTTTATTCAAGTGAACTCAAGTGATTATAAACTGGTTCTCAGTCCATCCGGTCAGACTGTGTCCAACCCGGTTTAATTTAAAAACAATGGATAACTCATGATTAATGTTATTTATGTATTTAATTTATAATACAATCGTAATATTATTTTCACGTGCATCGCACGGGCCACGCACTAGTGAAAATTAAATTGTGCTGTCTATATTTTTGGAGATTTAGCTAAATATTCCGCGTCTGTTGGTCTCAATCCCTTCTTGCAGGATTGATTTAGTCAACAAAAGTTTATTAAATAATAAAATGGCGAATACGTTTTCCGGTTTTGCTATGGAGCCAACAGTTGAATCCATAGTGGAGCCAACCTTCTATATACATCAAATAAATCTACCATATTCATAAAATTATATTAGTATTATTTAGGTAATCAAAGAATATGATATGTTTATTTGATGGTTAGTGGAGCTAACTATTAGCTCCATAGCAAAACCGATACATTTTCTACAATATATTCAAAATTATTTTGTGTATGGACCGATTAACATAACTTTATGCCAAGTATTTATTTATTTTCCATTATATATATAAATGTGTATGTATATATATTCGATGTTAGTTTGCTATTTTTTTTTAAACGCATATTATATGAAATGTCATATTTTATTTATATTTATAGTTTAATGTACAACATTGGTGTTTGCAACTATATTAATGATTGAAAGGGTATGGTTGACTAGTTGTTAGACAATTTGACAAAATACTTTACTAATATTTCATTTTTTCTTTCTTGTATTGAGCATTGTTACCTTGATTTCTGTATATACACGTTAGTTAAAACATTAAATTGAGATACTCATTTTGTTATTTTATTTTTGCAGCTGAAAAATGTGATGATGAACTTGGGAGAAAAACCAACAGATGAAGAAGTTGAACAAATGATACGAGACGTAGATCGAGACGGTGATGGACTCGTTAGCTATGAGGAGTTTGTGAGAATCGTGCTGGCTTAATCCCACTATATAATCCAATTTTTTTTCAGAAATATATATACCTATTTATATCATAATTCTAGATAATTAATTGTTCATTCTAATTTTGGAAAAAAACAAAATTGCATGGGAGCACAAATGAAGCATGTAACTTGGCAATGACCCGCATGTTAAGGCTTGTGAGCATGGCTAGTTACTTGTTAGTGACTTGGTGTATTTGCACAATCAAGCCTCTTGCTTTATTTATATTATGTATTTATTGTATTTCTAAGGATGGGTTTCAGTTCAAATTCAATTTGTTGTGTTAATAAGTCGAATTATGTAGCATATATTGTGAAATTACTAAATCTACTTGTGGAGCATAAGAATTCTACATCACACTTCAACGATTATTGAATGATCAATATGTTAGACTCAAGTATAACCGAGTAGGCACATATTTCAGCTAGAAACTTTTAAAATATAAAATTAAGCTCAAAATATGGACAATAGTCAATTAAGTAGAGTGGAGTGTATATGTAATCATGTATTTATATTTTGAGTTTGAGTGAATAATAATACAAAACCATTTTTCCACATCTATCTATTATCTTTTATAGTCAATCATTTTGTACACATTCTGAAGTATGGTGATATTCACGAGCGAGCACGATTTTGAAGTACAGTGTTATTGATTAGAGAGTTGCGAAGAGCGTACGAGGTGCTACGGCTGCACGCTATTTGGGTTAAAGAGGTTGGTGTATGTGCATTCATATTATGGGCTTGAGTGAATAATAATATAAACTATTTTCCCACATCTATCTTATATATTTGCTCTAGCCAATAATTTTGCACACATCGAGCACAATCCTGAAGTACGATGTTATGATAGAGCTCGGATGTGTGGTAGGAGGACCACGACCTGTTGAAGGAGCTCATAGGCGATTGAAGGCCCAACCTAGTGTGCGGGTCGTGAGCTCATTGAACAAGGCATGTATTGACTTAGTGAAGACAAGGACTTGAGAAAACATCCAAGAGCGAACTACAAGTGTCACAGAGAATCTTAGTATAATGGGCAAGCATATCTTATGTTTGGTAAGAAGATCCCGAGTCGTTTCCCTAGAAAATAAGATATATTTAATTCTTTTTCCTAGTGCGCAGAGTAACTTGGACGAGACGACTCATAAAAATAGTCTCTAAGTCGATTACTAACTTGAGCGTCAGAGTTTTGCTTTATAGGTTCTAGACGCTTGAGTTAAAGACGTGATCAAATTTCGACCAGTTTAATTCCGATCCGACGGAAAATTTGGTTAGTTTTATATACAAAGTTGTATTAATGTTATTTCTAAGCATTTTTCCTATCATTGTATTGTTGTTTTATCCATATGCTAAAACTAGTCTATACATTGTGATTTTGTAATGTTATGAGTGAAAAGGAAAGAAAACTTTAAAATTATATGTTCAATGAAAATTATGCTATTGTATACAAAGGTAATAATGTAAGTTTAAAATAAATATTCAAAATTAGAAAATACATTTATATAGATGTATAAATATTGTATATATTTAATTCACTTTTTAGTTCACATTATACTAGTTTAGATTAATTTTAAAAGGTAAAATTGAGCAAAAGCGTTAATATACTTAAAAACGATTTTAAGAGAGAAAGCTATAAGCGTAGTTCGCCATACATTCTGCAAAAAGGTTCACGCCGTCATAGTCCGATAACGACCCGCAGCTTATCCCGATGAGCAGCGCCTCTCCACCGTCTCCGCCACCGGAAAACCTCGAGGACTATTCCGCCGCCGCAACCGTCGTCCCCTTCCCTAGTCCGCTCCCCCTTCTACGCGGGCCCATTAAAGCCGGCCCATCCGACGACCTGTCCTCCGGCCCGTACCTCCTCGCGTTCAAAAGCCCACGCGCCTGGGCCGCCGCGTACAAAGCATGCGAAGCCCAGATCACCTCCCAATGCGAATCTGGGGCCCGAATAGGTTGCTCCATCTCCGCCTCCAGCAAATGCAAACCCCCCTGGTGGAAAACCATTTTGGGAATTTCCTCCAAACAGGACCTTACTGAGAGAGAGAGATGCGAGGAGAGAGAAATGGAAGCTTGTTTTTCAGCCGCGAAAGAGAAATGCGGCGGTTTTGCGAAACAGAAGTGTGGGCCCGCGTTTAGGGATGGTAGGGTTGAGGTGGGCGGCTCGGATTTGAAGGCGGCGGTGGACGACGAGGATGTTTTCAGGTTGATATCGGGGGTGTGTTTTGCAAATGAAAGAAGACGTGGGGTTGTTTTTTGGGGAGTGGATAAATCTTGGGACGAATTTCGGAAAGTGTTCGAGGTTACTTGTGTTAGAGGGAGGGACTTGATGAGTTCTGATGAGATGAGCATTGAGGATTATTTGAGAAGGAGCAACTGCAGTTGAGCATTTGAGAATCGAGCTCTTTTTCGGAGAAGTGTTCTGTCTGTGATTGCAGAGGATGGTAAAGGTGTGACCTTTATGCTCAATGATAAATCCATTTTTTTTTTTTTGTGCATTTCCATAATTAAGCATGTTTTCATGTATGTTGATTGAAACAAATGGGAATTAGGAATTTAGGTTCGATCTTACTGTGTAATGTTATCACTTTGTCATCAGATGTTAACTATAGGTTGTTTCATGGTGCTTAGAAGATATGAAAAAAATAGCCTGATTAACTTGCTGTGGGATGTACCTATATATCTATAATGTGTGATTATGTGAAGATAGTTTTATATATTCCACATCTTCCATGAGGGGAATTGGTTTACAATTTATCCTATCAAGTCATAGGGTAAAATATGGCATTGGCCGATGGAAAACACATGAGATGCTTTATGTGTGGCCTACGAAATAATATCTCACTTTGGCAAAACAATTTATGGTTGGAATTGGCTGAGGAGGAGCTGAACCTCGAGGATTAGTGTAGACTTGCAGTGATTTCGGTCAATATTTGATTGTGATCTTTATGACTTCAATTTCATTTTCTGTAATGTAGTACTTCTTTTTTGGTTTCCATAAAACACAAGAACTCTATGATGTTTTATATATGGCTGCATAGGGTGGAGCTCCAACTTGATGCTTAGTTAATAACATTAAGATTTTGCATGAAAAAACTTGGTGTTCATCAGTGGGGATACATCAGGAGGTGACTTAATGTTTCTGTTCTATGTTTTGTGAATGAAAGCTGTAGAAAAATTAGATAGAGATTGTTTAACTAAATTTCCAATTAAGTTGGCACAATAAATTAAATAAAAGGTTGCAAGTAACTTAGACCATAGCCAGGTCATTTGAAGAAAGTGGAGATGTACCAGAAAGAAAAGTAAAAAAAAAAAAGAAAAGATTCAAGGAATGATAAAATAGTAAAATACAAACAGGCTACATATTTGGAGTTAGAATGCAAATGTAAGTGGCTTCTTGAAGTGAAGATGCTAATGTGATCCATAGTCAAATGAATTGTTTGGTAGCATCTTTTAGATTCACATCCGAGTTTGGTAGATTACATGGTATTCTTGTTTCGCTTATAGTTTTTTGGTGAAATATTTGGAAATTTGGTGGCAACCAGTTGTTTAGGGTGTGATTGGATATAAACTCTTTAGTAAAATAATCAATCAAAACTCAAATCTAACTCAACTTTAACCAACCCAACCCCACTATCCTCCATATTATCAATATAATTAAATAACCCAATCAAAACTTTAATTCACTATTTATCCACTCACATAATTTTAACTAACCATCACTTCCAATCATTTTTCTCATACTTTTACATCAAATCAACTTTATTTATTTTATCTTAAATATTATTTTAATATACCCACTAACAACTACTATACCACATTTTTCAAAATTAACTATGGTTAAAAAAAACAATAAAAAACTAGTTCAATCTATATCCAATCACATCCTTATCAACTAGAAATCCCTTTTTAAGTATGTTCTCAATGGCAAATGCCACTCAATATATCAGTTTGAAGGTTTATGATAATTTTAGTGTGCTCTTATCTTCACTCTTGATATGATGGAACGTGCACGGAGCATATTTAACAGCTTTTGAGACTTCTAAATCCATTTTTTTACATACTAAGAACATTTTTCCTATCTTCATTGAACACAGGTAAAACTTGATGAAAAAAATGACAGAATATTCTGCACATCACTTGCAAAGTTGGATGCTCGCATATAATCCATCACAATCAATCATTTTCCTTGATTTTTTGCAATTTGTTGGTTATAAGACAAAGCCAGCGAGAAAAAGGTATCGATCAGGTAGACTTCATTTTTAGCTGGCCCACAATTTAGTTGACTTGGTTATCCCCTTCGTCTGTGTGTGTAGCACGAGTAATTTTAAATTTTTTGTGAATATTATGAATATATATATTTTTCTTATAAATTTACAAGCACTTTATCGGCGTTTGTTTCTAAACTATGATTCGTATTCTAGAGCTAACATGCAAGTACTAAATCCTCGAGTAGTTTTCGTAACTTTTCCTTTACCACACACATGTAGGAAATCCATGTCCCCAACTAACACTTACCTATTCGTGGTCACTCTCTACGTGCTTGACTCACGGGAGCTCAAAACTTAGATGAAAAGTAAAAAGAAAAGAAAAACGAGAAACTTTAGAAAGATTAGCCACCAGGTTTTCTGTATCTTTCTTAGTGGAAAGAACACTTAAAGTCTCTTTATGCATCTGTTAAGACTGTTATGCTTTCATTTTCTCTTAGTCTCATTAGCGTGCAACTTAACTGTGGGGCTTTGATTTTTTTTTTCTTTGAATTTGAGTTTTGTTGACAACTAATCTTGCGTGCTTTACATGCAATTTTCATCTTCCTTTTCTTGACATATTCATGAAAACAACATGGTGAAAAGTACTGGTAGTTGCACAATTTTGACCTGCAGAGTTTTTTTATTTTTATTTTTTGTTGGATTTTATATTATGATGTACTTTTGTCCATGCTTGTGTCTGGAAATTGCCCTGCACTTTCTTATGTCTATTTCAAAATTATATGGTCTTGTTGACTTAGTTATGTTGAAGTTTCTTTCATTAGTGAATGAAGAGAACATGGTGGGCAATAGGACAAGTGGACAATGGCTTGAAAAACTAGCTAGCTATATTGCCCCTTTTCCAGTTGCTTGCTGTGTTTTCAGTTGAGCTAAGCTTTGGTATTTGAAAAACTGAATAGGAATTTATGTTAGAAAATGACTTTTCTCGACGGGTAGCCGGATTTTGAACAAGTCAAGTAGAGTCGATCATTGTTAGGGGCGGCAATGGTTGCACGACAAGAAACACGAAAAATGATTTAGAGACAAAAGGCACAAATTGGGCACCAGTATTTTAAATTCCAGTGTTTTAAATACCGTTTTAAATACCATACTGGTAGATTGGTAGTCATATCGGCCGAGACAACAATACGTTGTACTATTGGTTCAACTGGTAATATCATCGGTATTACCTGAGTAGCAAATATAATATTAATATAAATAGTAATATCAAATATGAAAAAAAAATTAGATAACTATATTTACAGTCTCAACTTCTAAATAAGATCAAAATTAAAACTACAACTTCAAGTTTTATTTTTTTAAGTCAATAATTAAATTATTTTTATTTTTTATATATATATAACAAAATTTTCTTGATGGTATTTTGTCCAGTATTTTTTGGTATTTTTTCCGATACAATACCATATTATTTATGGCACAACGTGTATCTTACCTATCGATACGGTCCGGTATATAAAACACTGATGGGCACGACATGTTGTGCCTAGTAAATCCTGAAAACAAGGCTCACCGAGGATACAACTGAAATATAGGGTTGGGCCTATACTGATCCTCTTAGACAGACGATAATCGTCTCGAGGAAGATTGACGATCTCCCCTCAAGTTGATGGCACCGCTCAAGACATCTCATCCACAAAAAGAAAAGTTCGCATAGATACACGCAACGCCACCCTACGCCCCTAGTTGATACTGGACATTGATTACATTTCTACTTTTTCTGTGTATAAATATCAGCCCCTCCGGCTCCTAAAACAACAACAGACACATTAAAATATACCTAAAAAAAATATGAAATCACTCCCTCATACATTCCATACGGCTGCAATTCATCGTTATACAGTTCCTCAATAAAAAATTTGGAGAACCCTTCTTCTTGTCAATCCGCCATAATTGATCGATTATCAGTGTCTTGTTTCTTTCTTTTTCGCATATTCATTTTTTCAAGATTGCTCATATTCCCCCTAGATTTACTGCGATTAACTATGCTTAAAACCTATTGTAACCTCCTATTAAATCGTCCAATTTATAACCACAATAATCGTTGGCGGTCAACCAGCAACACGATGAGACACGAAATGAAAAATTTAGTTAAATTTTTGACTTATTATCGTATTTATGATCAATTTAAAATCTAACACGAAAACACGGTAGCATAACACATGTATGTCAAGATTGGCAATCCCTCATCATTATGATGTTCGACTTTGTTTGCAATTTGATCGTAATGATCGACTTTGTTTGCAATTTGATCGTAATGATCGAAAATTCACGTTTTTAATATTACATGGGTCCAGTAAAAAGGCTACACATAATTGTTTTGTTAACCGAGACGAGCTGGAGTCGAGCTTCGCATTTAGTCGGATGAAATATTGCATTAGAAACTCGGTTTATTCTGTAAATTAGTGAGTTTTTACGAGCTTTTCATGAATAACCCGAAAGGCCAAAAGTAGTGTGTGGACCCGTTTGGGTCTTTTTCTAATTTTCCTTGAAGTTAGAATTATTTTTACGTGAAAATTGAATATTGAAATTTCAGCTGTGGGACTGCAGTTTTTTCTTTTCTTTTTTTTTTTTTTAATTTTTTACACGACAACACTACGTTGTGGGCTAATGGCTATTCAAAATAAGTGGAACTTTTATGTAAGTTTGTGCAATGTGGAAAGTGTTTATTCGATTCATTCCACTTAGAGTTGCTTGATTGAGTTGATTCCAATTAATTTGGAGTAGTTGGTAGCTAATATTTTAATTCAATTTAGTTGATTGGAATAGTTGTGAATGTAACAATATGCAACAAAGAGCTTGTAGTTTAATTGAGATATACTGGTTGTCGGTTGAATTGAGTGACCTGGTTGGATAGGTAAATTTAGATCCAGACCCGTATTACTATTAAATTGAATTTATCAGTATAGATAGAAATGTCAAAAATTAGAAAAAAAATATAAAATTGTTAAAAAAATGTATAATGATAAATTATTGGTAAGCTACAAATGATAGTAGCCCCATTTATAATTAAACCTGTTTAAAAAAAAAAAAATCGTGGGGAAGTTAATAAATGGAATTATTGACTTGGTAGGGCTGGTGAATTTTGAGATATATATATTTTGTTTATTTAAAAGCTTTGTGCGTTTCTAATATGTATAATAGTATAAGCAGCAAATTACTTTGATTCAATCTTTTGTTTGAACTAATTAATAATACCACGGAATTATTATTATTATTATTATTATTATTACTAGTACAATACTCGTATATTACACGGGTGTTTGTTAAAAAATTATTCAATTGTGTGACTTACATGTGTTATATTATAGTAATCTTTATAACTTATCTCATATAACTACTTGAAATATAAATATATTAATTGATAAATAATTTTATTTTTTTAATAAATATTAAAAAATAATTTTATTATTGTTAAAAAGATAAATATAATTTATTTTTTTTATACATACAATATGGATGTTAAATCGAAACTCATCAAGAGATGATGATTTTGATATATTATATATGTAAAGCTGATAAAGAGTAAAGAAGTTATTAATTTTTAAAATATATTTACAATTCAATAGTTATAATAAGAAATGATATTAAAATGCAATTAATACATTTAACATGACCATAAATAATCAACATATTTATGGATAATCCGGACCTAATTATTTTTGGATTGGAAGTAAATTAAAATATACCCAAACCTAATAATGAAGCATGAAAGTTTGCTACATATAATCCCGAAGCATGCGAGTTTGCCACTTAGGTTCAATACGTTCTGAAAGGTGATGATTAATATTAACTAGGTTATCCTTTGAGATGGTGGTTTCAGAGTTATTAGGTATCGAAATGATATTATCTTAAGAAAAATAAGTAATTAAAATTGAAAAAATTATTTTTAACATAGAAAATGACATTATTGGGTATACTAAGACTATGTTCGGTAAAATTAGCTGACAAACTAGTTTTAGGTATACTAATACTATGTTCGGTAAAATTAGCTGATAAACTAGTTCGTAGCTGATAAGTTAGCTTATAGTTTATAACAAACAATAAGTGATTTTCGAATTTATATCTTATAGCTTATGATCTATAGCTGAAAAGCTAGTTTATATGATAAAATTGTTTGGTAAAGTTAGCTGATAAGTTATCTGAAATAAAAATTTCAACGAGCTTATTTGAAAAGCTACTCAAAGAAGCTTGTGAGATAAGCTCGAGTTTTTAAAAAAACTCGTCCTACCAAAAAAAATTTATTTGAATACATACATCTTATAAGCTAACCAAATAAACTGTTTTTTTTTTTTTTCTTATTTATAATTTCTATGTGTGTTTTAAATTTTAATGATTTGTAGATTGTAGATAGCGGTGACTTGGAGATTTTTATGAAGTAGTTGTTTATTAGTTGGAATGCGTATGGCTAAGCTATAATTAGGTATAAATCTAGCCATGATTGGTGGAGGTACAAGTGAATAAATAATTGCAACTGGTTGAGGACTTGAGGTATAGACTTTTTCAAAACGATAGAGGTTTTTATATAAAAAGGCACAGCAAAAGTACAGCCACCAGCTGAATACACACAGTCAACAGTTGAATACAAACAGTCAACAACTGAATAAATTGGGAGGACAGTCTAAAGACCGCGCCGATCCCAACAGAGTAATACTCACAAACACACAAAAATACTAACAAATAAAAACACTAAGGCTGTGTTTGTTTTTCAACGGTTTGCCTTTAAAATAGCTTTTTCAACTACTCAGCGATTTGACTTTTCTAATCAGCCAGAAAAATTGTTTGGTAAACAACTTTTTCATTTAGCTTTTTTGGGCCTATCAGCTAAAATTGAAAACGCTCTTTTTTAGAGCGTTTCACTTCAGCGGTTCAAATAAAAAAAATTTTAAAAGTCTTATTTGCCCCTTATTTGCCCCTTTATTGCTCTCTTTTCTCTTATCTGTTCTGAAATCATTCCAATCGTCCTCTTTTCCTTTTATCANTGCAAATTCCATTGGCCCTCTCAACTCTCAAACGTGGTTTAGGAAAGAGAAGAAGAACAAAATGAAGATTGAAGAGAGCTGTTCTGCGCCAAATTTGATAAAGCTTTTCATATTTATATTTTTCATTTTAGTATTATTTATATTTTTTTATTATATTTAAATTACTTTAATAAAGATTTAAAATATTAATTATTTCCAGTTCCTAAATAATTATAGGTTCAACATAAATTAAAATGATAAAATATGTTGATATCCTTCTAAGTAATTTTACATGTTAACAGTTAATTAAAAAAGCTAATTTTACCAAACACTTTTTTATAAACCGCTAACACGATCAGCTGGTCAAAATAGCTAATTCAATCTGCTGGTCAAAACAGCTAATACAATCAGCTAACAGCTAACAGCTGATTACCAAACAATGCCTAAGGTTATGTTTGGTAAAACTAGCTGATAAGCTGGCTTATATCTTATATATGATTTTTGAGCTTATAACTTATAGCTTATGACTTATAGCTGAAAAGCTAGTTTATATGATAAAAGTGCTTGGTAAAATTAGCTGATAAGCTAGTTGAAATAAAAAATTCAACTAGCTTATTTGAAAAGCTACCAAAAGTAGCTTATGTGATAAGCTCGGGCTTTTTAAAAAAGCTCGTCCTACCAAACGAGGCTTATTTGAATACAGGGAGCTTATAAGCTAATGAAATAAGCTATAAGCTAGCTTATTTGGCTTACCAAACATAGCCTAAGAAACTAAAAAGACCCAACGGAGTAATACTCGAGTGTCTGATCCCAACAGGATAATAAGTTGACACTCGAGCTCACAGAGGCCAACGACCCAAACCTAAAACACAAACGCAGACACTTACATCACAAAAACAAGAACAACAAATAACCTATACTAACACACAAACAACCCTTCCTCGGTTGACGAACAGGTCCGAACAACAGTGAACAATCGACACAAATAAGAATCGCAGCCCGAGGAACCACTACCGAAACTGCGCAACCGCCTATACCGCAGCCGAATCCGAGCCTCGAAACCATTCCCAGAATCGACCCATCTCCAACCTAGAAAAATCGACCATCCTTCACTAGCTCCACCCGAACTCGTCTAACACCACTAGTCGAGCTCAATAGAACCAGGACCCCGGACCCCCGCCGTCTAACACCACTAGCCGAGCAGAGGGGAGGCTGAAGGTGGCTCGGTTCCGCAACCCCGTCCACCGCAAACAGAAGACGTCGCGGCAGCCGGAGCCTCGCCCTATCCTCAAAACCACACACCACCGTACACCACTGCAGAAACCCGGCGACGAACAAACCTCCACCGAAAGCCCCGCCGGAGAAATAGAATCGCCAATCGGGTTTTGGCATACCACCGTCAATCGCAAACAAAATCAGAGAGAGAGTGCAGACCTCCGTTAAACGGGTGTCCGCCGGCGACTGGGAAGGAAACAACCCACCGTAAACCGGACTTCAACCAAGGGGACGCACCTCTGACCTTAGATACGCAGGCGACCGACATCGGATACCACTCAACAGAACCGCAGCAACATCGAGGCGCACAACATCCAGGACAGGGCGAGAGGTCAGGGACGACCGCTGGCCAAACTCTGATGTCACCGAGGAAGGCGGATCGAATTCAATTTAAGGAGCGGACGGGTTAGGTTAATCGCAGAGGAATTTGGGGGGCAAAATAGCTCGTTATATCACGACCTTTTACCAAATTGCTAAAACATCACGACTTTTAGACCTTGGCGGAAAATATCACGACCTTTAATTTCTTTGCATAACGATACACCAAAGTCAGAAACCGGTCATCGGTGCTCACGTGTCCGGTCAACCTTTTATTATGTGGAATTAAAAATCTAATGTGTAAAATATAATCCGACGTGGATATTGACATGGAAAACAGGAAAGACAATCCACCACCAAGCCCACTCTTCCTTTTTTTTCCATGGCGGCCACACCCATATTTTCATTTGGACAATCCACCACCACCTCAGCCTTGCGAGCCCGGCCCAAAAAAATTGGCCCGTTCGTTGCTCCTAGAGATCTTGCCCTTGGGCTCGCCATAATTGGACGCCCTCTTCAGCGAGCGCGAGGAATTTAGGGATGGCCCGGGTAGGGAAATGAGGTCGTGCCAGGAGGAGAAGAAGTGCCTCCCGACGTCTCCGTCCACCTCTCGGTGTCGACGGACTGGTCAGGCCGCTTTTGGGCCCAGACGATTGTTCCTTCGACACCGTCGGTAGTGGCAACTCCATGATGGGGGACTTCCCTACCGAGTTTTGGTGCGCAGACGAGGGTGCCCCGCCGATCAGCCTAGTGGAGTTCATTATCGGCGGCCGCCTCGACGGTATGGCGGAGGACTTTTACGTCGTGAGCTTGGTCGGCGGGTACAACATGGGCCTGATTCAGCCGTCGTTTGGCGGCTCCGGCGACTTTCAGTACGTTCACGCAGGGTGTCAGAGAGAATTGGGAGAATGGAAAATTAGGGTAAAGTGAGAGAAATTGGAAAAAATTAGGGTAAATTGGAGAAAAAGAGAAGAGAATTGGGGGAGAAATTGGGCTATTTATACTCCTTTTCCATGTCATTCTACACGTAGGACAAATATATACACATCAAATTTTTAATTTTACGTTGGTCGGACACATAAGCACCGATGGCCGATTTCTGACTTTGGTGTATCGGTTTGCAAAAAAATCAAATGTCGTTATATTCTCCGCCAAGGTCCAAAAGTCGTGACATTTTAGTAATTTGGTAAAAGGTCGTGATATAACGAGCTATTTTGCCAATTTGGGGAAAGACTTGTCGAGGTATAGACTTTTAAATACCATATGAACTTTTAAACCTATTTACTGGTTTTACACTTTTACTAAACAATAATAAAATTTATTATGATAATATATAAAATCAATTTAATTAATATAAGATTGTTTAAAAATCAAATACAAATGTAAACATGTTAAAATTAAGTGTAGAATTTTCAATGCAAATAAAAAATGAATAAAATATATAAAACCTACAAATTTAAAAAAATTCCGCTATTATCCTATACTGTAACTGGTATTTTTTTTGTTATGAAACCAACACATTTCGGTATTTTCACAAACAACGCTATTCAAAGGGCTTATGTTCAGTGGGCGCTTCATGATTACTAGCTATTGTTTCTATCTTTTTCATTTTATTCCATGTGTTAGTGACAGATTGCATCTGCAGCTTTACTGATGTTTGGTTAATTATATTCTTTTGGTTGTGGAGTCGAGTTGTTAGCTGGTAATCTAAGCTTCATATGGTGCTAAGGGATACAGATCTTCTCTGGCCTTAGCATGTGTATTAGGCTTAGTGTATGTTTTGTGTTTTGAGTCATAGTTTCTTTTAGAGCATCCGTGTGTGGGTGGCTCTCTTGTATTGGAATCAGTTGGTTCTCGGGTTGTATTTGTGTACATTATGTGCTATAAAATGCTCTATCATTTCGGNCTTATGTTCCCATCAAACCAATCGATATCCCATACATTATTGTTATTATTTGCCTATACGGTACGATGTATAAAACATATGCTAAACATTGTAAATGATAGTTGGAAAGTCATAAAAAAATGACTTAAGAATCTAAAATTATAACTGAACATAGCTCCTCGCATTGAGTTGGTTATAACTACCCTTCTTAAGAGCTATCCATCATTTTGGATATAATGGTTTGTGCTATTTTTGTTTGATTGAATTTGTTGGTTAATCAGAATTAATCTTGAAAAAGTTTGTTGTGGTATGTTTGAGTGAAATTTAGTCTTTATATTAAAATAACATTCAAATAAAATGATTAATATTATTTGATATAAACGTATGAGAGATGTGATTGGGAATGATATATAGTTAAATTATGTGAGTGGATCTATAGTGTATCAAAATTGATTTGATGTGTAAGGATGATGATTGATATATAATTGCTAGCAAACCATTTAATAAAACCTCACAAATTTTACCTCATAATTGTCTCATAAATTATACCTATGTAGCACCCAACCTTCCAAAAATTGATTCTGTCAAGTAAGACAAAAATCGTTACATTAATTGAGTAATTATTATTATTTTTATTGTATCATATAATAGTTATTATTAAAATTAATAATTATATTTTACACTAAATAATATATGAAAGTTACATGAACATAAATAATTATATTGTAAAACTTTTTGTTCAAGTTATTTATTCTAAAAACAATATTATATTTTGTATCTGTTTAAACGATTGTTTCTTAAATGAATTAATTTATTTCATGTCATAGTAAAATCACTTAAAATCTCATAAGCAATTGTTATAATAAATTTAATATTTTTCAGCAAATTAATTGGTTATGTTCACTCAAAATTACAAATATTACATTATTTATTATATTTTATGCAATCAATATAGGTATTCATATGCAATCAAATAGCTACGTACTATTTATTTTAACCAACGATCAAATTTTAAAATATAATACCATTATCTAACTTATAATAGTTCATGCTTAAATTTAATACAATTATCTAACTTATAATATTAATATTATATGTATATAAATAACTTATAATATCTTATTTATAAATATGCAAATGCATAAGGTCGAATACTAATTATATTAATAATATCGAGAAGAGTGATTGAATTAAATTTGAGTTAAAAAAAGTGGTAAATTTTTTTATTATTTATTTATTTTTAATCCAACCACCACTCTAGAGACTTGTAAGCTGTTTTGTGATAATTTATTTCCATTTTGTAATATCACTAGAAATTTCTCGAATCAAGTCAATTTATTAAATAACCGTTTTGCTTTTGAATCATAGCTACGTTTGGTAAAATTATTTAATAAACTAGTTTATAGATTATATATAATTTTTGAGTTTATAGCTTATAGAATAAAGACAATCCAACTATTTATTTTGTGGTCGTGTATGTTTATTCCAATTGTATTTTAATAGATAAGGTTACGGGCTAAGGAGAGAAATTTATTTTATCTTAAATTGTTATAAGGTTACCGGCTAAGAGAAATTTGAGGTAACAATTCAGCTACAAGCTCGTATGTTGGATGAATAATTAATTATTTCTTTTTAATAATTTATGTACTTTTCACTAGTTATTATTAATTATTATTGTCCCCATCGCGTTCCAACACGCTGGACTAAATAGCTTTTATCACAATGTGAAATCTATTTATCTTACCGGCTGGCTAAGTTATCTGTCGGCTGGGTAAGGCAATGATGTCGACTCACTTGGATGTATGATGAATATCACACGGCTAAGTTACCTATCGGCTGGCTAAGGCAACGATGTCGGCTCACTTGGATGTATGATGAATATATGCAAAGAGGGGTGTAAATGGGATATAAATGAGCCAAGCTCAAACTCGAGCATTTAATGAGCTAATAATTGAACTCAAGTTCGACTCGTTTGTTAATATTAACGAGCTGATCTCAAACTTTAACAAGTTAAACTATAAAAATTTTATAAAATTTTTCTTTACAAGTCTTATCGAATCGAGTTTGAATTCAACTCGTTAATTAAACAAATTGAGTCAAACTCAAGCCTTAACGAGTCGAGTTCAAGTTTCGTGGTCCTTGGTTTCGGAGCCAGGGTTTCGTGGTCCTTTGGTTAAACTATAATAATTATAATAATCAAGTGATGCATTTATGGAAAAAAAAAAAGCAACTTTTTTTTTTAATCAAATTCAACACGGATCCATGTTAGAAAAGGAGACAAAGCGGCTGGAAAAGGTTGACAAGCAACACTTTTCTTCTTAAAAACAAATGGCTTTAAAGTTTAAACACTCATTTTTTCATATAGCTAATTCAAATTCATCCCAATCTTGAATTATATCTCATAGAGCTCCGTGTCTGAATATGGAACTTCAGCATGAACTTGCACAAACAGTTTCTTGCAAGCTTTTTTTTTTACAGAATCTTGAACACACTCGCATTCTTAACAGATAAGCTTTATCTTATTCATCTTCATTACCAAACATCAAGAGATGCTTTGATTCTGTTTCTTGTTTTGCGGAAAATCTACAATGTCTGCTGTAGTTTAGCGTCTCTTTCACATGGTAATGAAATTTCCATGAAATTCCCCTAAAATCAAGTACCTTATCTGGCGTGTGTCATCCTCTGCTAGCTATAAGTAGTTAAGTACTCCTCCAAGCAAAATGCCAGACTTGAATGAACTTCTTTTTGTACCCATCTGTTGACTTGTAAACAAGAAAATCATTATCAAAAAAAAAAAAAAAAAATGGAAAGCAAACTCAAATACTCATCAAATGCTAGCATTCAAACCGTGCTGCTCCAAATCAGCACATCCCCTTTCACAAAATCACAGAAAAAATGGCGAGTCGCTTGCCTCGTCATACACGTCTCGCTATCTCTCGCGAAATGCATTCTTCCCTCCAAAAATCATTCAAACACTCTTATTCTCCCCCACACAGTTCTCGAAATCAGCGAATCCGAAGACACCAAAAAAACCGAGCTTAATCCTTCAAAGCTCGCGCAAATGGTGAAAAACAAGAACCTCTCGGAACTCAAGGCCCTCGGAGGTGCCCGTGCCGTGGTTGACCTCTTGTTGACCGACACGGAAAACGGAGTCAGCTCAGACGAGCCCAACCTAACCAACCGCCGGTTAAAATTCGGTTCAAACACGTACAAGAAGCCCGCCCCTAAAGGCCTATTCTATTTCATAATCGAGGCATTCAAAGACACGACCATACTTATTCTCCTCGTATGCGCGGCACTCTCTTTAACCTTTGGAATAAGAGAGCACGGCATAAGAGACGGGTGGTACGAAGGCGGGAGCATATTCGTGGCGGTTTTCTTAGTGGTTGCTGTGTCTGCCGCCAGCAACATCCGGCAAGAGAGACAGTTCGACAGGCTGTCGAGAATCAGCAACGATATTAAAGTCGACGTGATGAGAGACGGACGGAGGCAGACCATCTCGATTTTCGAAGTGGTGGTTGGAGAAGTCGTGTTTTTGAAAATCGGAGATCAAATTCCGGCGGACGGGTTGTTTGTAGACGGGCACTCGTTTCGAGTGGACGAGTCGAGCATGACGGGCGAAAGCGACCACGTTGAGGTAAATTCGTCTCGAAACCCGTTTTTGCTGTCGGGTTCGAAAGTGGCGGACGGGTATTCGAGGATGGTGGTGGTCTCGGTTGGGATGAACACAGCATGGGGAGAGATGATGAGCTCGATTACGAGGGATGTGAACGAGCAGACGCCACTTCAGGAGAGGCTCGACAGGCTGACATCATCGATCGGGAAAGTGGGCTTAGCCGTGGCCTTTTTCGTTTTGTTGGTGATGCTCGTAAGGTATTTCACTGGGAATACGGAGGATGAGAGAGGGTTTCGGGAGTTTAACGGGGTCGACCGCGATTTGAACGATGTGTTCAACTCGGTTTTAAGGATAGTTTCAACTGCAGTAACTATTGTGGTTGTGGCTATACCTGAAGGGCTGCCGTTGGCCGTGACACTCACGCTTGCGTACTCGATGAAACGTATGATGGCTGATCAGGCCATGGTGAGAAAGCTCTCGGCTTGCGAAACTATGGGGTCTGCCACGATAATATGCACAGACAAGACGGGCACTCTGACTCTAAACCAGATGACGGTAACCAAGTTCTTTGTTGGGCAGCAAGAAGTTCGGCAGGAGAAATCCCGATTCATTAATTGGGAACTGCTCGAGCTTTTTTGTCAAGGAATTGGGTTTAACACGACGGGCAGTGTTTACAAGCCGAAAACGGGCTCTGTGGTTGAGTACTCAGGCAGCCCGACTGAGAAAGCGATTCTCAGATGGGCTGTCCAGGATTTGTTCATGGATATTGAGAAAATGAAGCGTGATTACGCCATTGTGCACGTCGAGACGTTTAATTCAGATAAAAAACGAAGTGGGGTCCTGATCAGGAACAATGCCGACGATTCTCATCACCTGCACTGGAAAGGAGCGGCCGAGATGTTACTAAAAAATTGTTCGAATTATCTCGAGCTCGACAGCCAAAAGCCGAAGCCTATTACTGAAGAAAAACGTGCTCAGATCGAAAGGATTATTCAGGGCATGGCGGCTAGTAGTTTACGCTGCATAGCGTTCGCTCACCTACAAGTGGCACCCAAAAAACACGAACCGGACAAAAACGAGCGTCTAGAAGATAAGGACCTGACCTTGCTCGGGATAGTCGGGTTGAAGGATCCGTGCAGGCCTGGGGCCCGAAAGGCGATTCAGTCCTGCAGAGCTGCCGGAGTTCACGTGAAGATGATCACTGGCGACAATGTGTTCACCGCTAAGGCAATCGCAGCCGAGTGTGGCATACTCGACCCCGACGAACGAGTTTCAAACGATGAAGTAGTTGAAGGAGCCGAGTTCAGAAACTACTCACCTGAGGAACGGGCCATTCGGGTCGAGCGTATCCGAGTCATGGCCCGATCTTCCCCGCTCGACAAGCTCCTAATGGTACAATGCTTGAAGCAGAAGGGACACGTGGTGGCTGTCACAGGGGATGGCACGAACGACGCCCCTGCACTCAAGGAAGCTGACATCGGCCTATCAATGGGGATACAGGGCACTGAGGTCGCAAAGGAGAGCTCCGACATCGTAATTCTGGATGACGATTTCTCGTCGGTGGCGACTGTTCTACGGTGGGGCCGGTGCGTGTACAACAACATCCAGAAGTTTATCCAGTTCCAGCTGACGGTGAACGTGGCGGCCCTGGTCGTCAATTTCGTGGCGGCTGTTTCGGCCGGAGACGTGCCCCTGACGGCGGTTCAGCTCCTGTGGGTTAATCTCATCATGGATACGCTCGGGGCACTGGCGCTGGCCACCGAGAAGCCGACCGACGGGCTCATGCGGAGCCCGCCCGTCGGCCGGTCTGAACCGCTCATCACGAACGTCATGTGGAGGAACCTCCTGGCGCAGGCGGCGTACCAGATCGCGGTGCTGCTGGTCCTGCAGTTTGGGGGCCGATCGATTTTGGGCGTGGGTGAGGAGGTGAATCGGACGATCGTGTTTAATACGTTCGTGCTGTGTCAGGTTTTCAACGAATTCAACGCGAGGGATTTGGAGAGGAAGAATGTGTTCAGAGGGGTTTGGGGAAATCGGCTGTTTTTGGGGATTATTGGGGTGACGGTGGTGCTGCAGGCAGTGATGGTGGAATTTCTGAGGGATTTCGCCGGCACGGTGAGGCTGAGCTGGGCGGAGTGGGGCGCGTGCGTGGCAATCGCGGCCGTGTCGTGGCCGATTGGGTGGGCGATGAAGTTCATGCCGGTGGGGAGGAGGCCGTTTTTGAGTTATTTTAGGTTTCCGGCTTTCAAGCTGTGGTAGGCGTAGGCGCTTTTCCATGTTCTTTATTTTTCTTTTTCCCTTTGTTTTTAACACCCGTGTATATACTAATTTAACTTGTATTAATTTTTATTTTTATTTTTATTTTTATTTTTTTGTAATGGAGTTACAACTAAAAAACTATTAGAATTAGCCAAACAACCACCTACTTGAATTAGTATGAGGACATCCTCGAGCCTAGATATCTAGACTAACTCACACGAAACAAACAAACTAAATAATAACTCCAATATGAGAAGAATAAGGGGGTGATTGTTTATGATTTCAATTGGTTTTATTATGTTTATTTTTTAATTATAGTTAATTTTAAAAAAAAATGGTATAGTTAGTTGTTAGTGGATATATTAAAATAATATTTAAATAAAATAATTAAAGTTGATTTGATATAAAGTGGAAGAAAAATGATTGGAAGTGATGGTTAGTTAAAATTATGTGAGTGAATGAATAGTGAATTAAAATTGATGTGATGTGTAAAAATGATTGGTTGATATTATTTAATTATATTGATAATATTGATGATAGTTGAGTTGAGTTAAATTTGAGTTTTTTTTTTTGTTGAAATGATAAACAATCACCCCCTGAGCTATTAAGAAGCATAAAATCACTACCACACTAACAAAACCACTGAAACACCAACACAGACACAACAACCCTGCTAATAATATACTAACACCCTCATTTCAGCCAGAAAACAAACTGCAAGACATCACGGTCCAACACCTGGAGGTAGCCGCCCAAACTGATAGAACTCCGACACAAGCACCAGACCAAAAACTCCCATGCAGCCACAACTAGTTGGTACCGCACCCGACGACTAAATCTTCTCTAGACGAATCACCATCGATCCGAAGACTGGAGGACGTCACCTCTCTCCCTTTCCACCCATCAACACCGCAAGACCACCGGACTGACGGCAGGGGACACTGTCCACCACCGATCAAACCAATCAACCCCAACCTCCAAAACCAGAGAGACAATAAACGGGAAAGAGCGGAGACTTTACCTCAGTCCCGACCAACGCCGAAGAGTCGGACGGAGCCCACATCTCGTCGCCTCTCAGCACCACCGGAACTCTCGCCTGGGCATAGACTACCGATGAGTGTTGCAATGCTCTATACAGGGGAGGGGGTCGAAATACCTGAAGGACGAGTTGTGTGTCTGATGACGAACGACATCGGACAGTGCGGAAAGGCCGACTGAGAGGAGACGAGAGGTAAGAAAATGTCGAGCGCATGCTTTTACGAATCAGGGATTTTATACCGTGTTACTAGGGAGAACAACTTGTATTACTTGTTGTTATTTACACATATTTTTTAATATGGATGTATAATTTTGAGATTTTTTGTTTTGTCAAGTGCAAAACAATGGGGGAGTAAAAATTGCTAGTTGCAAAAATGTGATTAGATAAATATTGATTTTTTTATTTGATTCTAATTTTTTTTTAATTTTTAATTTTCACGTAAATATATGGAGAAAAAATAAATGTGTATCAACTCCAACTGATTATTAGACAAAAAAAAAATCTCACAAATTTTAGGGCATGCTTGTTTATAAAATAATTTGCTCAAAATGAGTTATTTTGATTAACTTGAGTTAAATTTTGAAAAGGTGGTAGGGTTAGTTGTTAGTGAAATTTTAATAATGTATTAAAATAATATTTAAAATTAAATGATTATTATTGATTTGATGTAAAAGTATGAGATAAATGAAAATGATTGGAAATGATAGGTATTAAAATTATGTGAGTGGATGAATAGTGAATTAAAGTTGATGTGATATATAAGAATGATTGGTTTATAATATTTTATTATATAAATAATATTAAGGATGGTGAGATTGAGTTAAAGTTGAGTTAGATTTTGAGTATGAAATAAATGTGAACAAATTATTTCATAAACAAGCATGCCCTTACTCTGCAGTGACCAATTGGGTCAGGGATAAATAGTGATCATTGGGTTCGATTATTTCTATGGATAAGAAACAATCGATTATAAGAAAATCTATCCTTTTTAAAATCAACAGCTAACAAATCGATGAGGAAGAGGTACCTCGAGCACCTCATCACCATCTCTAAGCATCGACCATGACGAGAGAGTGCAGTGCAGAAATTCCAATCCCTTAAAACTTTGATCACAAGAATATGTGTTGCTTCTCTTAAGTTCTTCATATGAAACTGCTTGAATAACCATACCTTTAAATTCGACAACACCTTCACACCGTTGCCGTAGTTAATGGTGGTGGTTGATTCATCTTATCATCATAGTTTAATTAGAAAAAACAGTGATTTTCATATGTGATTATGGGAAGAAAAATATTAATCGAGACAAAAAAAAATTGTAATTTATGAGAACCAAGAGTAAAATATTATTTTATTCAAAATATCAATCATAGATAATAATTATATGACTAACTTGATTCATATAATGCCACACGACGTGTTAATTTAGATAATTCATATCACACAAAAAGAATACAATAACCATAATAATTTACCGTATTCTAAGGACTTTATAAGACTTTAAAAATTATGGTGTATTTAATTTAGATTTAAGACTTTTAAAAATCAGGGGGTATTCATTCGAGATTTTAAAATGTCTTACAACAAACTGAAGTACTTAACATATTTAAGATTATAATTTTTTAAGACTTTTTAAGATTTTGTAAGATTTATAAATAAATAACATCTTATTTCAAATTCCACCTCCATGCTTAATTAAGATAATTCTTCAAAAATGTGAAAAGTTAAAAAAGTCTTAAATTTTAATAAGTTTAAAAATGTCAAGAAATCCCAATTGAATACAACTCTACTTGAAATCAATTTCAATTTATTACTATTTGAAAAAATGTCCGAATTACGCTGGCGGTGAAGCCCGCATAAAAAGCCCAAACTGAGACACGGCCGAAAACTGGCCCGGCGATAGCCCGATGTCAAGATGTTAAAAACTTAAAAGTTAAAACTTAAAAGTAGTTCTTCCAATTTTTATATAATTATTATCCCTACACTTCAATATATTTACAACCTGTACAATTTGAGCAGATTGAAGCAATCGACTCAGTTTTGGCTTCTCCGATCGCCGGCTTGGTAATTGCGATTTCTTTCTCCGCCGGCGAGATCTCCGATCAGGTAATTGAGTGTTTCTGGATTTACTGATTTGACCGTGGTTATGGTTAACAGTAGTGGTGAATCTTGTATTTTCTCAGCAGAAAATTTTAGGTTGTCTTGTTCAATTTTGAGATTAGCTTTATGTAGATCCGCTGTGAGCTACCAGCTTGATTGGTTTATGATGCGTGATTTGGTGTTGCACAGCTTGTTTGAATAGTTTCATCTTCCCAAACTGAAACTGATCATCAGCCAGTTCATTCAATGGTAGATTATGTGGTTTGATTTGGTTCTATGAGGATGTTTTATAGCGAGGTCGTAAATTTTCTGTCTGTAAGAGTGATAGTGCTGCTTTGGCGGAAGTATTTTGTATATGGTCGTGCTTCATTTTTTGTTAATTATATAAAATTTTAGTCTAATGTGGTGGGAGACATAGGTGGTCCTTTGCTTGTTTTGAAGTTGAAACTGCAACATCCGTTTATCCATCATTTGAGTAGGAGTCTAATCTGATACCAGTGGTGTGAAATTTTGATTTCTTCTGACCCAGTGGATAAATACAAAGGATTTCTGCTCCAATGTTGTCATCTGTTTGCACTGTCCTTATGTTACAGTCTATTAGGTCATCATGAATTTGAAAATAAAAAACCCTTCTTTGCTGAACTGTATAGTAATGACAAAACTAAATGAGGTCCTTCGGTTAATTTTTTCAGCCTGTGAAACGACATCTTTTATTTTCATTTTTCATTTTACCTGTATTCTTCATGATCCTTGCAGAAGCTTTGGTGATCAAGCTTGAGGTAATATCTTCATGGGGACCGAAAATCCTAACCGTCCAAATTACCCAACAAGACCAACTGGAACACCCTTTGCTGCTCCCCAGTCGGCGACCCCTTTTTCATCATCTGGGCCTATGACTGGACAAGCACCATCTCCCTTTAGGCCCACAGCTCCGCCATCCTCTCAGTTTTCTGCGCCTCCATTTTCTGGTGGGCCTTTGGGTGGATCAGAGGCCCCTGCCTTTAGACCCCCTGCCTCATCATCCTCATATGGCCAACCAAATCCAGGATTTCAGCGTTTTCCTAATCCACCAGTTGTGTCAACAGGTCAAGCACCACCACCTCCTCGTCCCTCCTTTATGGGTCAGCCCGCGGGCCCTCCGCCTATGAGAGCTCCTCCTAGTCCTGGCTCTTTCCCTTCACAACCTCAACCACCTTCAGTGCTCATGGGGTCTCCACCTCAAAGCATGAAAATTGGACAACCCAACATGAATGTTCCTTTGCCTGCAGATCAAAACTTTCCACCCTCAAGGCCGAATGCTCAACCTCCTCAGCCTTCTTCACCTCCAATGGGGCCATCTTATGCAGCTGCCAGGGGTACCTTCCAGCCGGCTTTTCCTGGGTATGCTAAGACACAGTCAGAATCTGTTGCTCAGACTCCACCTATGCAGCCGGGTAACTTTCCTTTGCAACAGGGAGGCTATGCTCCACCAGCACCTCCTACTCCTTTTATTGGTCAGCAAAGAGGTTATGTTCCTGGTCCTCCAATTACGAATCCTTCGGGGCTCTATTCCGGGAACCAAATTCATCAGCATGGACTTGCGCCACCCACTTCAACTCCACAGGCACTGGCAGAAGATTTTAATTCACTCTCTCTTGGATCAGTACCAGGATCCTTTGATGCAGGGTATGATTCTGCAGCTTTGCCAAGGCCATTGGATGGGGATGTTGAGCCCAAGACGTTTGCCAAGATGTACCCGATGAATTGTAGTTCTAGATTCCTACGACTGACAACGAGCGCAATACCAAATTCTCAGTCCCTGGCGTCTCGGTGGCATTTGCCTTTAGGGGCTGTCGTGTGTCCTCTGGCAGAAGCTCCTGTTGGGGTGAGTCTGGTGAAATTGACATTATGTTTACAGTTATACCAGCTGCCACTATCAGTTTATCTTCTCTAATTCTTCATTTGGTTCATCATTCAGGAGGAAGTTCCAACAGTGAATTTTGCCACGACAGGTATTATTCGTTGTAAGAGGTGCCGCACTTATGTGAATCCATATGTCACGTTTGTGGACGGTGGAAGAAAGTGGAAATGCAATATTTGCTCATCGCTCAACGATGGTACGGTTTTTCTTACTGCTGCTGATAGTGTAGGTCTAATTGAGGCATTTCTTTTAGTAAATTTTAGGATATTATCTCTAATTTACCACCATATTGTGCTGTGTGAAAATCTAGCAAAATTTGTGAGTCCTTTTGGCAAATTTGAAAATAGGTTAACCTCGAGGCTAATTCAAATGGTTTTTTTACTTGCAATGGTCCAAAACTTATTTATAAATTTTCATTTGCAGTTCCGGGAGAATATTTTTCACATTTGGATGCTAGTGGCAGAAGACTTGATTTGGATCAGAGGCCTGAACTAACTAAGGGTAGTGTTGAATTTATCGCACCAGCTGAGTACATGGTCCGCCCCCCAATGCCACCTCTGTATTTTTTTCTCATCGACGTATCAATATCTGCAGTCCAAAGCGGAATGCTTGAGGTAATGTTCTCAATTAAATATTTATGGCGAACTAGTTCTGTTTGCAGGTTTTATTATTTCACTAAACTCCGTTGACACCTTTAACTGGCTTTGTTATCTTTTTGTAATAATTAGATTACAGTTATTATCTCATAATTTGAAACAACTGACTTTTAATCAAATTATATATCTGAAAAGCTGAAATGTATTTTTTTGATTCACAAAATAGCAATGGTGGAGTTGATTGAGTATTCATGGGTTTATTCATCTGCAGTCTTAGTGTAATGTTTGGAAGGAAAGAAGGATAAAGAAAATTAATTTTTGGGTATTATTAATCTTTTTTTATTCTTTCAAAATTGTAGGCTTCAAACCTATTTGGTATTAAAAATATATCATATAAAACTTTCACTTCTAATTTTTTGACATTATGGGGGAGGTAGTGCTGCTAAATATCTAACATTTGATTCTGCTTTTTCCATGACAAAAATTGGAACTTATAATCGAATTTCAATTTTGATGAGTCGGCAACTTGTTGATGTTTCACAAAATTTTTGGTCATAAATTCAAGTCTTTGCTAAGCCTGAAAGGCATTTTTTGGTACTCGCTCAAATCTAAGTAGTGTTTTTTTTTGGTATCATAATTATTACTCTGTTGTAAAATAGCTTAGAAAACCTTTGTATCCATCTAACTACTTGGAAATATCATTATTCATTCATGACGATTGACTGAATTATTCAGCATGTTTTTTCTTGGCTGAATCATTATCATACCTTATGTTTTGCAGGTTATGGCTCAAACTATTAAGTCCTGTTTAGACAATCTGCCTGGTTATCCTCGTACACAAATCGGCTTCATTACTTATGATAGCACTATACATTTCTATAACATGAAGGTAAAGTGTCATTAGAGAGTTTTTATTTTTAGCATTTCTAATCTACATTTGATGCTGGTGAATAACTAATGGCCTTTTTTTGCATCAGTCGTCATTGACACAGCCTCAGATGATGGTCGTCTCAGATTTGGATGATATATTTGTTCCTTTGCCCGATGACCTTTTAGTCAACCTGTCAGAATCTAGAGGTGTAATAGAGGCGTTCCTTGATAGTTTGCCCTCCATGTTTCAGGAGAACATGAATGTCGAATCTGCATTTGGTCCAGCTCTTAAAGCTGTGTTCATGGTTATGGTATGCATGCTTCTGTGTTTGCAAAACTTTTGACCTGCATTTGCATTATATATAAAAAAAAATCTTAATATTGTGCCATTTGGCTTTTAGACATTATTCTGTGATTCTCTGTTGATGCCCATACTCCTAGGAAATTTGTTAATGTTAAACTTGAAACTAACTAATTATTGTGTCATTGTCAGAGCCAACTTGGTGGTAAACTGTTGATTTTCCAGAGTTCTCTGCCATCATATGGTGTTGGCCGCCTGAGGTTGCGAGGGGATGATATTCGTGTTTATGGGACAGATAAGGAGCATATTTTACGTGTACCAGAAGATCCATTTTATAAACAGATGGCTGCTGATTTTACCAAGTATCAGATAGCTGTAAATGTTTATGCCTTCAGTGACAAGTACACAGACATAGCATCTTTAGGTACGTGTTATCTGATATTTGGTTTGGAAAAATCAAATGGCTATCTTCATTTATGCTTGTTTCCCTTGCCTTAGTTTGGATAAATGCTAAACTGGTTGTTTAAGAATGCCTTCTCTGGGTACCATATAAGTATGTTATAGAGCCTGAAGTCGGTGGCATTTCACTTTGTAATTCTCATTCAATTTGCAACTGAGTAAAGCACATGAAGGACCTATGCAGTAAGATTCAATAAATTACGAGGTACAAGGAACTTTAATTCTTTTTGTCAGTGTGGAATAGGTCATGAATTAGAATAATATAACGTTAAAATAGAGATATTAGAAATGGAATAAAGCAGCAGCAATATGGTGAAATGTCACCAACTCGAATGTCATCGGTGATTTCTGTAAACAATTTGGACTCCATGCACGAATAACCTTGTATTTTAATGACATCCGCTCCAACATTTAGAAGATGCAATGACATGATGAAATTTTCCTTGTGGTTATGTATCTAATTGTTGGTTTTCATTGTCTTGTAACATTTTGGTATTGGCAGATGTAATGTGATTAATAGGAATGATGCATTTGTGTAAAATGAAATTACTATATATGCAAGTTCCTCTCCTAGTAAACTCTCCATTTTTTTCACTTACTGAGTGTTACCGTTTGGTATGACCTGGGTTTCCATTTATATTTCATCTTTAATACTTCGTAGGCACGCTGGCAAAATATACTGGTGGTCAGGTGTATTATTATCCAAGTTTCCAGGCAAGTAATCACGGAGATAAGTTGAGACACGAACTAACCCGAGACCTTACTAGAGAGACTGCTTGGGAAGCTGTAATGCGAATAAGATGTGGAAAAGGTACAATTATGTTATTGCTGTTAGATAAATGAAATTTCGTTAACTCGGGGCACTCCATCTTAGTTCTTTGCCTTTAACCCTAGCAGAATGTTGTAATAAGCTCGTGTCTATCTTGTCTGTAGGTGTCCGTTTCACAACTTATCATGGAAACTTTATGCTCAGATCCACCGATCTACTTGCGCTGCCTGCAGTTGACTGTGATAAAGCTTATGCTGCGCAACTGTCTCTTGAAGATACACTTTTGACCACTCAGACTGTGTACTTTCAAGTTGCACTGCTGTATCCTTTTCCTGCAGAATACTTCAAATAAATAAACTTACTATGTGTTCATTTATTTTTCATAAAATTAACATTATGAGCTGGAACTGGAGAGCATATAAGAATAAGTAGCCCCTAACAATTGCCAAGATACACGTCATCTTCCGGAGAACGACGCATTAGGGTACTCACTGCTGCTGCTCCAGTTGTGGCAGATCTTGGAGAAATGTACCGCTTGGCCGACACCGGAGCAATTACATCTTTATTCTCCAGGCTGGGTAAAAACATTTAAACCCCGCTTTACCTTCCATAGATGTTCATTAATCACGCGTGACTTGATTTTGATGAATGGATCTCAGACTAACAAGTGTGTCATGAACTATTATGCAGCAATTGAGAAAACTCTTTCCTCCAAGCTGGAAGATGCCCGAAATGCCGTTCAGCTACGTATTGTGAAAGCCCTCAGAGAATACAGAAATCTTTATGCGGTTCAGCATCGCCTGAGTGGAAGGATGATTTACCCTGAGTCACTAAAATTTTTGCCTTTGTACGGATTAGCTTTATGTAAATCAACACCCCTCCGTGGTGGGTACTCAGATGTTCAGCTCGATGAACGGTGTGCTTCTGCTTCCACCATGATGGCTTTACCCGTTAAAAATCTGCTCAAGCTCCTTTATCCTGACCTGGTTCGTTTGGACGACTGTCTTTTGAAAGTAAGTTGTCTCGCTTTCTTGTTTTCTTTCTTTGGTGGGATTCATTGCTTTGGGTGTTTTGTCAAGGACCTCTCATGATTTCCTTTATTTATTCTCAGAATGAAGAGTACGACGTCTCGAAGAGACTACCACTGAGTGCACAGAGCTTGGACACCAGTGGTCTTTACATCTTAGATGATGGTTTGCGGTTTGTGATTTGGTTCGGGAGGTCAATTTCGCCTGATATAGCTAGAAACTTGCTCGGGGAAGATTTTGCAGCAGACTACTCAAAGGTGAGAACTTTAATATACCATTGTTTTTTCTCTGGAAATTTAAATGTTTTAATCCTTGTAGATTGTTTTCTACAAATAGCTCCAACATGTTTTTCTTGTTTGATAAATCCAGGTTAGCCTTAAACCGCGAGACAATGGAATGTCAAGAAAGCTAATGAAGATACTCGATAAAATTAGGGAGGGTGACCAGTCATACTATCAGCTAAGTCATCTTGTGAGACAAGGAGAACAGCCGAGAGAAGGTTTCTTCTTACTGACAAATCTCGTGGAGGACCAGGTCAGTGGCGCGAATGGCTATGGTGATTGGATGATGCTCTTACACCGCCAAGTCCAACAAAACGCCTAATATCTTTTGGTAATTTTCTTTACAATTATTCTGTGTTGTAATTATGTTTTAGAACTAATAATTTGATCCGTAATTTTTTTTTCTTTCGTCTGGGTTTTCAATATGTGGATATCTATAATAACAAATAACTTACCTCCTCTTCTCTCACCCATGAACACACAATCTGCCTGCAATTTCCTGTTAATTCTGTCATATGCTGTCTCTTTCCTCAACCCCAGATCCGTAATTGAAATTCTCTCAAATTTGGAGGGAAAGAATTCCTTCTTGTTCCCTCTCAAAAAAATTGAACCAAATAAGGTTTCTGGTAGAGTTAGGTGAATTTGTGTGATATGGCAGGCTAACTAAGGCCCGCAACTGGCTGGCCATTTAGGGCCGCTCTATGATGTGAAGTGATGATTAGTTAAAATTATGTGAGTGGATGAATAGTGAATTAAAGTTGATATAATGTGTAAGAATGATTGAGTGGTATTATTTAATTGTATTGATAATATTGAGGATAGTGGGATTGAGTTGAAGTTGAGTTAGATTTTGAGTTAAAAAAAGTGATTGGGTAAAAATGATTGGATTTTTTTTTGGAAAAAATTGTATCCAAGCATCCTGATAGGAATCTGGAAAATTTGTTTAGGTTGTAGATGGGACTATGAGTTCTGCTTACAGTATAATGTTTAGCTTCAACAATTCTCCAACTGTTGAAGCAATTTGCTGTTTTGCAGGAAATATCGATATTGTGGTGTGTGGAGAAGTTTGAAGCAGTGTAGCTGCCCATCAAAATTCGAGACAAACTTTTATCATATTTTGGATGCATCAGAAAAGGGACTGGTTAGTGATGATGAAAGTGGATAACTCTACATGTTTATTTAAAGTTCAAAATCTGGAGAATCTCTCAAGATCAAACGTTTGAGTTGAGGGTCGCTGAATTCTATTTGGAAGGGCAATGAAAAGGAGTTGTTGCTAAGGGGCCGGTCTTTTGAACTTATATATGGTGCAGAATATAAAATAAAAGTCAATCAGGAAATAAAAGAAGCCTTTTAACTGATTTTAAGATTTCTTTATGGTTTTGATTTTCTCCCTCGTCTTGGTTGGGTTTGTAGTTTATGATATTTATTGGTGTGTTTGAGATAAACAGCAATTTTAGATGGAGTTTAGGATTGTGTATTTAGATTTTAGACTCGTGAAATTTTTTGAGCAGTTTTGATCCAAATTGGTGGCCTGTGATATGTGATTTTTTCAACTTGCAACGTTCTTTTTCATTCTTCTCATCTTTTTTCACCTGTGCTGATTATTATTTTTAATTCTCGATACTTTTTGTATGGTTTCGCTATAGACATCCACAATATTGATAATTGTCAGTTTTTTATTGAGATATCCACAATTGTTCACAAAACAATGTAACATATACTTGAGCTATGTCTCAGCACTAGGGCAAGAATGGTTCGTATTAAACCATAAATTGCCAAAAAGTTATTATTCTCCACTGAAGCATAACGATGACAAGTCAAAAATAATAAAGAAAAAACTTTCGTTGGTCAATTGTGAAGCCAGTTTTCGTTCAAACACAAACATGATGAGGGCAAAGTTCTAGAAATTCCACCCAAACGTGTAACATAAAACCATGAACTGATTGATACTGAGAATCACTGCACGCAAAATACCACATAATTGGGCATTATCGTAGAGAAAAAAGACCACTGATTTTTTTTCTT